GGATAAGTAGTAAGTACATTTGCAGACAGAAGGAAGAACTATACGGCCTCTGATCTTTGTTCCAGGTGGAAAAAGAAACAAACTGGTTCTCTCCTGGCAAGCTGGCATTTGGCACAGAAACAGAGAGGAGGCCACGACTGGTGCTCAGTCTTGCTCTTGTCAAATTTCTGAGATGTATTCGTGAAACTCAGGGTGAAATCCAGGCTAGGATGGTGGAGAATAAAAAGTATAGAAAGATCTATGTATAATGCTCCTTTTCTTACCTAAACAATTCACGCAGGAAGATCTCGAAGTCTGGGCTCGGTTCAGGTGAAGTCATGCTAGACACAGGGTAATGGCCTTCATTATCTTGCCTCAATGACTTTGCCAATTACTTTCCAAGTAAATGTTTCCAAGGAATAAGCTAGTTAATGCTTTGAAAGATCCATTGTCATAAGACCAAGCAGAGGGCCGTTTCCACACAGCTGGTTCTACTGGAGGAATAGCCAATGAGCAGTCTTGATGTGTAGCCAGCTTCTCCCTGCCAGAACTAGGAGCCAAAGTGAGTGTGTGCTTCAAAAGCAAGGAGTTAGGCTTGGAAGATCCACTAATCCTCAAGGAGCCTTCCCTGATTGGCCTCAGGTCTTCTGAATGGGTGACCTGTGAGCAAGAGTCACAAGATAGTCCTGCTCCCTCATACCTTTATCCAAGTTCAGAGTCATGTTAGTTCTGTGAGATAAATTGTTATCTCTGGTTCTTCCTTTCAGTTTCTGTAGTATCTGCAGCTACCTCCCCTTCTACCTTCAGGGGGTCACTAGTCAGTACCTGGGATACACCACACACCGTTTTGCAGATCCCAGAATTTCTCCAGAACAATTACATTAGCTAACATTTATTAAGAGCTTCCTTTATACCAGGCACCTTTCTAAACTCATTGTGTATATTAACTCATGTTGTTCTCACTACTGTTATTACCTTCATTTTGCAGATGAGAAACTGAGGCAGAGTAGCCTTACAACCACAGTAAGGCAGTACTCTAGTACCCTACCTTCTACCTGGAAGGTAGTAAGTGGAAAAGTTGAGATTCAAACACAGATCTCTTTGACACAGAGCCTACCCTTACAACCACTAGCATCATGTGACTGTTTCTCCCAAAGAAAATATACAAACAATGGTGACTTGCCTTTTTCCTTCTCAGAAAGCTGAGAGAAGATGTGAAAATAGAATCTCTTTTCCTGTTACTTCCAAGTTTTGTTCTTATTTCCCTTATTTTAGACCCTGTCCTCTGCACTGGTAATATTTAAAAGCCAAGAATCTTTCTAGAAGTAGTATAGCTCTGAAGCCAAGATTTAGGGACAATTCTATGCTAGGTCCCCCCAAGTCAAGATGGGGAGCTGTTCTCCTGTTTGAACAGTTTTGAGGAAATTCTTTGTCTGTCTAGGAAAATAACCAAGAGATACATTTTCAAAAGCGGTTGTTTTTCTCCAGTGACTAAGTTGGTTTTCAGAAGGGTAAGCAAGAATTTGTGATTCTCTCTGCAGCAGTGAACAAATTTGGAGGAGGAGGAAAGAAATTCAGTACAATTCAGTTTAAATTGACCATAAGGACGTTTCCTACTCCCTCTCTTTCCAGTTTCTGTTTTGAATTTTTCATATATTTTCAAGAAGGGACCATGTTTAGCTCTTCAGCTGCACAATTCTTTCCTTTCTCTCTTGATAAATTAAAGATGGCTCATGGGGATTTTAAATGTCAGATCCTATAACAGGCAAATGCCTTATTGCACACAGCTTTTTTTTTTTTTAAAGGCAAAGGTTTGTCACTTTAAAAGAAGAGTTTAAAGGGTAAACACTGTTGTGCTCATTGGAACCCCCCAGAGAGCACCAGCTATGTCAAAATTATAAAATTTGTCAGGGTGCCTGGGTGGCTCAGTCAGTGAAGTGTCTGACTCTCGATTTCGGCTCAGGTCATGATCTTAGGGTCATGAGATCGAGCCCTGTGTCAAGCTATGCACCGGGCATGGAGCCTGCTTGTCCCTCTTCCTCTGTTCCGTTCCCAGCTCCTGCTCTCTCTGTCAAATAAATAAATAAATAAATAAATAAATAAATAAAATCTTTTTAAAAATTTTAAGATTTGGCCTTTGGGAACAAGGACCTCTTGATGTTTTCCTCAGGGGTGGGGACAGCAATGAAAAGTAATGTCTGGATATCTGCGTGTGTTTTTTTTTAAATCTGTATTGAATGCATGTATTCAAATGGTACTGCAGCACCGGAGAAGAGAGCATTATGAAAAAATTTAATGTTTGTAGATAGGAACCTGGCACCTATACTCACCAAAGGTGCATTTTAATCTCGCCACATAAGTGCCTCTGTTCCCCTTGGATATGAACTAATTTACCTTGCCTGATGCAGAGAAGCTTATCGACTATAAACATAGACCCAGAAGATTTGGGATTCCTTTGCTCCTTTTCCATCCTACTGTTAGACACTTATTGCCAGTTTGCTAGTTATAAGCATCACAAAGTAGTGGGGTAGGACTATCAGTTAAAAGAAAATCGATGACTCTTGATTAGTTGTGCTGACAAAAATGTCCTAAGAGTGAGATTAATAAAAACCTGTGGGGTTAAAGACCCTAGTTATCAGATGGCCAGCTTGCTCTCTGTGCCAGCTGTGTTTCTGAGCTACTTGTAAGATGTGAGTCATCTCATCTTGTGTCAGGGTATAACTATATCTAGCTATAAGGCTCTCTTGCTTTACTTAGCACATGAGCCAAATGGACTCTGCTCTGTACCTTCAGATGTCATTCCATTGTCATTGGCTGTGATGACTGGTTTGCTAAACACCGACAAGACTCTCATCACCGTCTTGCTGTCCTTACTGGTTTTACCAGGATAGAGACCCAAAGTTAAAAGTGAAACATTTTTTTCCGAGATATAGCACACATACAGTGAAGCACACAAATTTTAAGGGTACAACTGAATTTTTTAACACATATGTAATCATATTATGATGTAGAAGCTTTCTAGCACCCCAGAAAGCTTTTTCATATCCCTTGCCAGTCAATAACTCCTACCCAAAGGTAACCACTTCATTCACTTCCATTCCATAGACTTGTTTACTTGTTTTAAAATTTCATGTAAATGGAATTATACAATATGTGCTTTTATGCATCTGGTTTCTTTTAACATTCTTGTACATTTTTTTGGGAGGGACATTTGTACATTTTTCTTTTGGATATTTAGGAATAGAATGGCAGGGTCATGGGATAGAGGTGTGTTTGGTTTTAGTAGATACTGTCAGAAGGTTTCCTTTTTTTTTTTTATTCATTTGACAGACAGATCACAAGCAGGCAGAGAGGCAGGCAGAGAGAGACAGGAGGAGGAGGCAGGCTCCCCACTGAGCAGAGAGCCCAATGCGGGACCCGATCCCAGGACCCCGAGACCATGACCCGAGCTGAAGGCAGAGGCCTCAACCACTGAGCCACCCAGGCGCCCAGAAGGTTTCCTTTTTAAAAAGATATTTATTTATTCATCAGAGAGAGATTTAGAGAGAGTATGTGTACATGCAGAGGGAGCAGCAGGCAGAAAGAGAAGCAGGCTCCCTGCTGAGCAACGAGCCTGCTGCAGGATTCCATCCCAGGACCCCGGGATCATGACCTGAGTCTAAGGCAGATGCTTAACCAACTGAGCCACCCAGGCATCTCTGTCAAACAGTTTTCTAAAGTACATATACCAGTTAACACTTCACCAACAATGTATGAGCGTTCCAGTTTCTCCATATTCTTCTCCACGCTTGGTACTGTCAGGTTTTTTTCCATTTTAGCTATTCTTTGGTGGGGTTTTGTTTGTCTTATGGTGGTTTTAATTTGCGTTTTTCTGATGTGCAGTAATGAAACCTACTCATATGCTTGTAGGCCATTTGGATGTTCTCATCTGTGAAGTGCCATTTAATTCTTGTAAACTTTTTTTTGTTTTTTTAAAAATTGAATTCTCTTTTTCTTACTGATTTGAAAGACTGTAAATTATGTATATACTGGATACAAGTCCTTCGTTAGATATACACATACATACTGTGAATATATTTTTCTAGTCTGTGGTTGGCCTTTTCACCCTCTTAAGGGGTCTTTTAATAAATGGAAATTATTTATTTTTATGAAGTCCAGTTTATCAGTCTTCTTTCATAGTTAATATTTTTTGTGTCAAATAAGAAGGTCAAGATAATATTTGCCTATGGTTTGCTGTTGGAGATTTATTGTTTTATCATTCATATTAGGTCTATGACCCATTTACAATTATTATTATTAATTTTGGTATGTGATATGAGATAAGGTCATGGTTCTGTTGATTTGTTTGTCCTTGTGCCTGTACCACACTGTCAAAATTACATAGCTCTAAATTACATAGCTAGCCTTCATATCTGGCAGTATATATCTCCCAGTTTTGTTTTTCAAGATGTTTTGGCTATACTGAGTCCTTTGAAAACCCTTGTATGTTTTAGAATCACGTTGTCCAAAGTGCCCTTTGGGGATAGTTTTGAGTTTATTAACTCATTAGCAACCCCACAGCCTCCCAGCTACAAAATCTAGGTACCATTTTGAAGGAGGGACTGGTAGTGTGTTTGTGGCAGTTCCCTTTCCTCTAATGAGAATTTGTCTTGGAATACCATAAGACTGTGGGCAATTTCACTCAGTTTTTCCATGCTTAGTAAGGAGCCTTGAGCTCAGCTGATTTCAGATGAAGAAAACTAATCCTGAATTTCAGGGTTCTCAGATTTCCAATCCATTACACCAACCTCAAATGTTACCGAGATTTCTCCTTTTCCACAGTAGCGTCCTTCTGCCTTGGCGCCAAACTTCGTCTTCAGCTTGTGCCCAGAAAGAGCAAATGTTTCATGAAAAAAGCTCAGGATGACCAGTTCAGTTAGAAAAGGCTCTGTGCTGTCAGAAATTTTCGTTCATCTTGTTCCACAGATCAGGAATATCTTTACATATTGATTTTGCAGTTTATCCTTCTTTTTGTTTTTTAGTTTGTGACAGGAGCGTTCACATTCCCGCTTGAAAGTGAAAGTCCAGAAAATATTCACGGGTTGGAACCTTGACTTTCTCATCCATCTCAGCTCTATCACAGGTGAGTAGTTTGAGCGTTTGGGCCAACTCAGTAGGTCAGTGGAAGGGCAGTTAAAATGGCCACAGCATTTCTTTCACAGATGATGAGGATCCCTGAGGGCACTGATCAGGTTGTCTCCATCCCTCTGCCTTAGGGCTCACAGTCAACTTGGAATTCAGCCAGTTTCCAGGGAAGGCAAATGGGACTAACATTCTCAGTTCTATCCCTGCTCAGAATGAGATGTTGGCCCTGGTCTTAACAAGGCAGATTTTGCTCTATGTAGGCACCTGAATTGGTGCCCTCTGGCATAGGACTTTAGGAGTCAGACTTGGGCTGACTTTTGGTTCTGCATCTTTACTTGACCACGTGACTGTGGGCAACTTTGTTAATTTCTCTGATTCTCAATTCTCCTATCTATAACTTCATAGGGTTACTGTGAGGAATAGACGTCCTAATGTAAGACAAGTGGATTTCCCAGAGACCTAGGTCTACACATGTGAATGTTTATTATAATAATTATTTTTGGGCATGTCATCTCATCTCATATATGGTTCTTGAGACTGGGATTATGCTTGGTTACAGTTTTGGAAGGAATAAAATTTACATGCAATGAGATGTACACATCTTATGAGTACTATTTAATGAGTTTTGACAAATGTGTATTCATATTCCTTTGTAACCCAAAATTCTATCTAAAATATAATCATCATATTATTATATATCATATATTATATAAGAAACTTATATCATATATATATTATATGAATATTATATATATTATACATATAATATATATGTACCATATATATTATAAAAGAAAGTTCTCTTATGTCTTTTCCCAATCAGTTCTCCCCTAGATGCAACCACTTTTCTGATTTATTTTCCATCATAGGTCATTTTGCATTTTTTAGAATTGCATATGAATGGAATCCTACAGTAGGTATTCTCTCATGTCTGGCTTCTTCGTTAAGTATAATGTTTTTGATATTCGTTCATGCTCTGGTCCCTATCAGTAGTGGCTTTCTTTTTCTTGCTGATTAGTATTACATTGTATGAATATACCACATTTTCTTTATCTATTCTCCTTTTGATTGAACTGGGCTCTTTCTTTTTTTTTTTCTTCTGTTACGCATAAAGGTGCTATAACCATTCTTCTAAAAGTCTTTATGTGAATTTCATTTCTCTTGGTTAAATACCTCAGAGTGAAATTGCTGGAAATCAAGGTAGGTGCTTGCTTAGTTTTGTAAGAAACTGCCAGACATTTTCAAAGGGTTGTACCATTTTATATCCCACCAGCAATGTGTGAGAATTCTGGTTTCTCCACAGTTTTGTCAGCATCTGGTGTTGTCAGTCTTTAATTTTAACTAGTTTAGTTAGTAGTCTTATTGTGATGTTAATTTGTATCTCTTTGATGACTAATGATGTTGAATATGTTTTCATGTGCTTATTAACTATTTATTTTTCTTCCTTTGTGAAATGTCTGTCCAGATCTTCTGCCTATTTTTAATTGGTTTATCTTTTTATTACTGAGGTGTAGGGGCACTATTTTTTAATTGAGGTGTCATTGACATAGAACAGTATATTAGTTTCAGGTATATGACAGAATGATTTGATCTTTGTGTATATTGCAAAATGATCACAAGAATAAATGTCATTAACATCCATTAACATACATAGTTAGAAAACATTTTTTCTTGCTATGATAATTTTTGAGATTTACTCTCTTAGTAACTTTCAAATATGCAGTACAGTATTACTCACTGTAGTCACCATGCTGTATGCTACATCCCCATAACTTACTTATTTTATAATAGAAAGTTTGTACATTCTGACTCCATTCACCCACTTCACCCACTGCCCACCTCCCAGTAGAAGCTCTTTGTATATTCTGACAAGTTCCTTGTCAGATGTATGTTTTGTGAATATTTTCTCTCGGTTTGTGGACTGCTGCTCATTTTATTTACCATGGTTTTGGTGAACTGGCTTAACTTTGTACTCCATGCTATGCCTATTCACAGCAGCAACCTGATAATATTTTCTGAAGGAAAAAGCCAAAAGTTGTCCTCTAGCCTATAGGTATCATAATGCAAAAATGCACTGCATGCATAACAAGAAAGGATGGCTAGGGGAGCTGTTTTAGGTTGGAGGGTGAGAAATCGGAGATGATATTTAAACTGAGACCAGAATGACAAGAAGCCATTTTTTTCCCCTGGGAAAAGGGATCCCAGGTAGAGGGAACAGCTAATAGAAGGGCCCTTAATGAATCCTTAAACATTGTGGGTGGAAATATAAATTGGTGTAGCCACTATGGAAAACAGTATGGAGCTTCCTCAAAAAATAAAATATAGATCTACGATATAATATAGTGATTCTACATCTGAGTATTTATCTGAAGAAAAAAACACTAATTTGAAAAGATACACATACCCCATGTTCATTATATAATAGCCAAGGTATGGAAGCAATTTCTGTGTCTATCAGTGGGTGAATGGAAAAGAAGATGTGGTTTATATACACAGCAGAATATTACTCAGCCCTAAAAAGAGATATCTTGCTACTTGCAACAATATGGATGAATCTAGAGAGGGTATTATGCTAAGTGAAATAAGTTGGGCAAAGAAAGACAAATACGATATGATTTCACTTATATGTGAGACCTAAACAACAAACCAAATGAATAAAGAAAACAAAATAAAACTCATAGATAAAGAGAACAGGTTGGTGGTTATCAGAGCAGAAGAGCATTGTGTTGTGCGCAAAAAAGCGTGAAGGGGGTTAGCTGCATGGTGATGGAGGGCAACTAGATTTATTGTGGTGATCACTTTTAACATATGCAAATATTAAATTATTATGTCATATGCCTGAAACTAATTTAATGCTATATACTGATAAAAAAAGAAATAATAATAAAAACAAAGACTTAAGAGATATTTTTTTTAAATGGCCCTTAACATAAGTTGGGGGTAGGCACAAGCTATCCAGCATATCCCTTTTAGGCAAACTAAGTTGTCAGAGATTACTTGCTTTAAAAAATTATCACAACTGGAATAAGCTGATGCTATAGTCTTACTCTTTCTTAGTACTGCAGTACTTAGCAGTTTCTTAACACCCTTCTTGTCTTCCCCAACACCCCAGGTCCTAGGTTCCAAGATGCTCTGAGGCTAGGAATTTTGGATTAGTTAACACAATGGTCAACAGGGTTAAGGCTAAGTCTGGTATTTTTTTTCCCTCAAAGGTGACCAAGTGATTGAAGAAATAAATCAAGGTTTGCATAAGTAAAAAGCAATTACACTTATCTTTATAAAACAGCAAACTATGAAATGTTCCACCCCTCTGCTTTGTACATTCAGATTGTATAATGTAAAACTTTTTCAATACAATATCAATTCAATAAGTGGAATATAATTTATTTTTGAAATTCTCCCCAGTTTAGGGAGAGATAGAAGAAAAGATGGTGGGAAGGGATAGTGGAAGATGGAGATAGAGAGAGAGTCAAATAGAATGAAACACATAGATGAATAAATGGATGTCTATTGAGCAAGAAGAGGAATAACAGAGTCCTCGAGGGAGGTAGAGATGCTGAGAACACAAAACAAAACAAAACAAAACACCTAGGTGAAGGAGAAGCCAGAAGTTAAATCAGTTTTGTGTGAGTGTATTTCTCTTGTGCCCTTGCGCAATAGGTACTGTAGTAGACTATTGCTTCCTTTGAAAAATGTGATGGTACTCTCTAGTAATATATAACACACACTTTTCTTCTGTGTTTCCTTTCTGATCCATACTCTACATTAATACCAAATTCCTCTCATAATTTCTTTCCATTATTTCTTTCCACCAGACTGCTTTTTCCTCTAGTCAAAATGCAGAGATTTTTTAAGCTAATAAAATAACCTCCACTGCCCATTCTCCTACATTTCAGATGAAAAGTTACCTATACAACCATAATCATGCCTTCTGGTCATCATGGTTGTGACTCTTCTTGGGGCAAACTTCACGTCTGCTGTCAGGGTTTTGGACCAAAAAAAAAGTGTGGTTCTAAAAGAACTTATGTTAAGTGAAGATAGTATATAACTGAGTGGGTCAAAGCAGGTCCCGTGGAGACCAGCAAGTGCCATGTGAAAATCACAGATCATCTGGGCAATCTTTCTGTACTCCAATAAATGTCTAAGGAGTACAGTTAGTCAGAGATAGTGCCTTTGGTTTGCTGGGCCCCACTCTGGTCAGAACTGCTGTAAATAGGGCATTGATAAATTTGGCAATATCCTAAAGGAGTGAGGTGGGTGGCTGCTTCCTAATACTTTCCACTAGGAAAAGCTCAACTGAGGCTAGAGAAAAAAAAACCAGCCCCATTTGTAGGACTGGTGGCTAGAAATTCAATGTGTATATGTACCTAAGGAAATAATTGGTCAAAGGTATATATAGCTAAACTGATCAGCCATGGACTGAAGATGTATGCCATAACAAATGGAACATTACAGACTGGACTATTGCAGGAAAAATAATCTGGTGAAGGGAGATAAGAAAAGAAATTGTTGAAAGAATTTCAGCAATTCATATAGGACATGTACCAACACATCAGAACAGGAAGACACAATAATCTGTTTAGAGTAAAAGAGGAGACAATCTGACCCCTAAAACTAATGTGGACTCTGCAGTCCTGGGGACTCCCAAGTCCCAAATCACCTCCCTTGTCAGTTCAATTTAAGGTCACAGAATGCGCCCATGAAGCCTTATGGCGTTTGGACATGAATATTCCTAGGTAAGCAGAGGGGGAAGAGTAGGGGGAAAAATATATGAAGCAAACAAACAAGTGAGTAAGCAATATGAGACATGTCAAATTACTAACAAACTCATTTTTTTTTCTTTTTTTAAAATATTTTATTTATTTGTCAGAGAGTGAGAGTACACAAGCAGGGGAGCAGCAGGCAGAGGGTGAGGCAGGCTCACCCCTGAGCAAGGACCAACCCCCCCTGCAATGCAGGACTCAGTCCCAATACCCTGGGATCATGACCTGAGCCAAAGGCTGATGCTTAACTGACTGAGCCACCCAGGGGTCCCAACAAACTCATTTCTAAGAGGAGTGGGGCATGTTAAACCAGACCAGTGTATGAAGTAGATGATACAGGGCCAAACTTTAGATGTTTAAACAAAGAATATTGCCTTATAGAAGTATAAATTTCCTTGCCTTAAAAAAGTATAAATTTCTTCAAGAAGAGGGTTTGCAGAGCATACCAGGCATGCAGATGAGAATGATATGTTCATGCCTTTAGACAAAATTGAAGGAACTGGTTGCTAGATACACAGTATTGGCAGTAATAGGAAATGACCAAGGAACTAATTTTACAACAGATGTTGTCCAAAATTTGGCAAAAGACATAGACTGTGGAACTTTGATTTCACAAATTCCCCAGGCTGCAGGGCCAGTTGGAAACCTTAAGAATTGAAGACTAAAAACACAAAGAATTTAACAGCACCAGGTATAAATGGCAATGCAGTAAAGGTGCTAAAAAAGACAGAATTAATTGAGAGACTCTGAATGAGTGTAACTTCTTCAATAGAGATGTTCAAGAAAGATGGGCAAAAAAAATCTACGCTTACTTTGTTCTCAAATCTTATAAGAAGAGATCACGATGAGAAGTATGAAGGAAAGAGAGTATGAGTAGTAGATCCTTATAAGGCCATCAAAAAGGAGGATCCATAGCTAGGGATACTCTTTCAACCTTATCCTATAGCCAGAACCTGTAGGATGGATAAAGACTCAAGAATACTAATCTTTATGTTTCTCTTTTCTATTATTAGATCTGCTTTGCTGTTTTCTTTTGGTGGTGGCAGTCTCTCTGGTGGTCATTATAATTGCAGTTTACTGCCAACAAAAACAAGAGCGCCATATGTAAGTTTTCTGGGAGGTTCACCAACTTTATCAAAAAGTGCTATAGGACTACTGGTCTTACTCTGTACTTGATCATATTAACAGCCTCATTTCTCAACCAAACCAACCATAGAACCATTACCAGCCCCACAGGATCCATTATCACCTAGAGGCCATTTGCTACAGCTTTCAGTAATATTTATCTACTCAGGAGATCACTGAGGCATGGAGTCCACATCAATCCCCGTGCTGGTTGCTGGACTTGTTGATTGTGTAGCCCAGTTAATAAGAATAGCTGAAGAGCTTTTACAGCTGATTTCACAGGAACAAGTTCCTTGTGTAGAGCAGAATGATAGAGCAGAAGAGATAGAAGTGGATGCATCTTCTCCTGAGGAGGCTTCGCTCCCAGACCTTGCTGATTTCTCAGACTTAGAGTCAATACTTATACCAAGAGAAGACGAAGACCTAGTCCTTGACATAGATCAAGCAATGGTAGACATAGAAGACTTATATGAAGATGTACTCTCCAGTATAAATGATGACCTAAGAAGTGGTTAAAACCCAAATTTGCCCCCAGCAGCATGTGAGAACTGATAGTTTTTCTGTTTTAAATAGATTCTGATTTTTCTGAGTGTTAACAATGTTTTCTCCTAGTTCTGTACATTTTCCTTACTAACACCTTATAGAACAAGTTAATACTAGATTTACTTCCAGTAGAAGCTGGTTTCTTTTCTTCTTTATATTTCTTTTAAAAGCTTTTAGTTCTGTACATTTTCCTAACACCTTATAGAACAACTTAATACTAGATTTACTTCCAGTAGAAGCTGGTCTCTTTTCTTCTTTATATTTCTTTTAAAAGCTGTGACTTTAGCCTTTCTCTACCTGTTCTTGTTCTTCTGTTGGGTTTTCTAATAACAGAAGCAAATGATACCAAAAAAAAAACTCCTCACCTAACAACGGAGTTAAGACCTCATGGACTCTATCATGGATTGGAACCCAATGTCATTGTTCTGCAAGTGGAAACCAAAAAGGGAATATTCCCCAAGATGGTATTATAATGAACACATCACGTTGACAGGACAGCATTGGGACACTTTTACTTGAAAATATAGAACTCCTCACTAGGCCTTTAGGGAGAGGATTTGTCAACCAAAGGATGTTAGGGGAAGCAATTTTTGAAAAAGCACCATCTATTGGATAATATAACTGTTTTTGGATAACTTTTGCCAGGGAAACCTTTGAGAAAGCTGAGGTGAAGAAGTTCCAATGCAGGACTATTCCCTCAAATGATGACCCACACTACAACTAGTCTTCAATATTGTTCCACAAATGGAAAGGAGAAATTATATCAAATAACAATGAGAGTGGTACTAGTACTAGCAGGTCTAAACAAAGCCCCAGGAAGACTGATCACCAATGCAGTCAAAGGCTCAGACATGACAGTCCACAAAAAGAAGTGGATAAGGTATATCTTCTTGGGTATAGCTAGATTTATAAAGAATAGCTGATAGGCTTATTATAGTGAACCTGCTGCCACCTTGACATAAAAATCTTAACTGTTGACAAATGGCAGCAATAATGAATTTGAATAAAATATGGATTGGTATTTAGCCCTAATAATTCTACAAATACCAGAAGGCTAAAATGCAATAGTTGGAGGACTCCTCTACCCGTATTAAAATAGAAAGAGACCCAATAACTGTGTGGGAAGTTCACTGCTCACACTAATTCCATGCCATATAGTAATCTTGCTTCCATTTGGACAAATAGCTACCCTTTAAACAAGCCCATGGACACAATGGTCCTCCTTCCTAGAGAATGGCCTTTGCATCTTACAACATGGGCAACAACTGGGTAAGGCATAGTAGTAGTTAACGACAGATTGGTGCATTCATATTGTGAAGAAATGATAAGTAGAAGTCAATCCACTCTGGTGAAAACCAGACTATACCCAATTTGTATAGAGTCCTAAGGTATATTATTAGCAAAAAGATTAAAAATATACTGAATACAGATAGCTTCAGAACTAACCAACATGACAGATGCTGCATCTAATCCTAAGTGAGGTCTACATACAGGGATAATTAGCTGCTTTTAAAGGTAAATGTGGGGGAAGTTAGAGATCCAATGTGGATAAGCAGTAGCAAGAGAAGCATAAGTTAGTTTTGCCACTGAATTTCAGGTTGAGTATACGTAACAAATTAAAGAAAAAGACTGCTGTATATATAAAAAAAAACTACCACATATCTTTTTGAAAATGAGAGGAGCTTAAGGGAGATACTCTAACATGTTATGATACTGTTCCACAATAGACTGCTACATGGAGTAGATGAGGACCCAGGACACTTAGACCAGTGCCCAAAGACACAAAGAGGAGAAATAAAATTTCTATCACCAGGAAATTACTGTGGGTAATTACAAGTCAGACCAGATAGGAGATTAAGGGACTTCACTGCTGTACTAATTGGACAAATCGAGACTTACTTTCCTAGGGTAGGGGACTCTAGCTGTTGTGGTATGTCCAAAATGGCAAATAAGAGATGCGGTGCAAAGGCACTATATGAAATTAACTAAAATATAGCACTGGGAAAGCAAGAAGAAATGGTTTATCCCACCATTCCATTTGGAGCAGTTTTATAAGGAGGACTAGTGATCAGAGTTAAACAAGGAAATCTGTACATGTAGCAACCAAGAAGAATCACAAAGGAATTGGATAAAAGTTAAAGGATAGAATCTATGCTCTAATTAAAGGTTTGGAAACAGCTGGGAAAGATATATACTCTCCACTAGGAATTTGGACTTTAGGAAATTGGCTTTAATTTTGTGTCAGAATAAAACCCAGAGCAGGAGTACTTGGGCAAGATCAGGAAACATCCAAGGACAGACCATCAATCTACTACAAATTCTATATAGCAAGTAATTTCACTGTAAATGGACAGTTCTGGTGCTCCTCAAATATGATTGATACCAACAGTAGCTATTCCTCTATGTAAAGCTCTGGAATATAGACTTTATAACAATTCCACAATGGATTAGTGTGAGCTCATTAAAACTGTTACTATTAGAGAATGCAAGCAAGCATACTAACTAAAGGTGACCATCAAAATACATCAAGAGAAATCTGTGGGACTACTCCAGACTTTGAAACAAGATAAAGCTTGAACCAGCCTATAATGCAACTAATACTCAACGTGGTCCTTATATATCAAAGCTGGAAGATGCTGCAAACTCATAGTGTGTGAAGCTGGCTAGCCTTCTGGCTAGATGAGTCATGTGGAAAAGATTGTACTACAGTAGCTCCTCAGAATTAGATAAAGTATATTGTGATGTTTGCTTTGATTGTGTGATTACATGTGTTTAAGAACTGTTAAGATGTAAACCCACTCCAAACAGTGGGTTGTTGTATTAAGTATGATTAGAGTTGATAGTGATAAGAAGTAAGTGTAGGCAATAATAAAGTACTTAGGAATAAGAGCTAGTAAGGAAGTATTTTTATGAGAAAGTGATAAGAAGTAAGTGTAGGCAATAATAAAATACTTAGGAATAAGAGCTAGTAAGGTAGTATTTTCAGGAGAGAGTGATAAGAAGTTAAGTGTAGGCAATAACAACATAGTTAAGAATAAGAGCTTATAAGGAAGTATTTTTGAGAGAAGAAAAGCAGTAAATTGCATAGAATAGTCATGCAGCTATTTAGGGTGGAAAGCCTTGGTATGAGTTAGTTCCTAAGCAGGTTTATGAACAAAGCCCTGTTTTTATCATATGCAAATCAGCCAACCCTAAGTCTTTGACAGTGATAGAAATAGCTGATTGGCGATCGGTAGACGTAGGTCATGCACTTAAAATCTCAATTAGAAGGAGATAAATTACTTAATTTGGCAGTCCACCTTTGAATACCTCTGATTGGAATCCTGGATTTCTCCTCCAGGAGAGTGGAGAGAATGGCCAGTCCTTTATTTAAACTAGCCGTTTTCTGAATTTTCTTGAGACTGACACCGAAGCCAATTCTTGTATGGCGTGAAGGGATAGAGAGGGAAACAGGCTCATCGTTCTAAGTCAAGCTTGAGAATGTGAAAACCGAGAGAGATAGGTTGGAGATGGCAATGAACTGGGAGGCATTAGTTTTCATCCTTGTGTGTTTTGGCTAACTTGCATGAGAGGCTGCAACTATGTAATTGTATCCTTATGTGATGATTAATGCCAGTCATTAAATTAGAACTGAATATCATCTTTGTTACTGATCCACACTGTTTTATTGCTATGTGCTTTAACATATTTTAACTAATAAACTTTCATTCATAAATCAAAGAACTTGTGTTCATTTAAATTACCTGGTGGTGAATTTGGAGGTCCCAAATGAGCATAAAAGAATCCCACATGGCAGAAGATGGAGTACACTCAGAGACAGTATTGTACCAGGAGTTGAAAGTTCTACTTCTGGCTTTGTCCTATGATCCTGAACAAAACTCTGAAATATAGTCCTTTCTTGTTTGTAAAATGAGTTAAAATAATTTTTCTGCCTACCTTCAATGGTAATAAGGATGAAATACAGTGATAAAGTTTTCAAAGACTTTGGTATGGTATATCTGACAATGGGACGGTATAGGAAATCAGGACTTTTTAGAAATATCTGAAAAATGTCCATGTGATAAATCCCAAGAGTCTATGCGACACGTAAAGATTATCTAGTAGTTTTATACCTGTTTTCTGAGAGATTAAGGCTTTCTTACTTAACTGCATGTAAAAGTTATAGTTTGGAATCATCTTTTGTTTCATTCTTCTGAGCTCTCTCTCTCTTTTTTTAACCACGTGGACTCTTTTTGGGAGTCTATTCCAGTGCAAATAGGAATGATAATGAGGAAAAACCAACAATGAAAAAGATCTCCAGGAAACAGTAAATTATATTCCATTTCAGGCTAAGATTTTGTTCCTGAGGGGTTATGTAATTCTGAAAACTATTAACCCACTATTACCCAACTAAATTTCTACAATGATTTTTTTTACATCAAACTTGACTATTGTATTCTTTTTCTAAAAAAGGATTTTATTTATTTATTTATTTGAGAGAGAGAGCAAGTGAGAGCGAGCGAGCACGAGTGGGGTGTGGGGGGCAGAGGGAGAGAGAGAAGTAGACTGCCCGCTGAGCAGGGAGCCTGACACAGGACCTTATCCCAGGACCCTGGGATCATGACTGGAACAAAAGGCAGATGCTTAACCAATTAAGCCACCCAGGCACCCCAACTATTATGTTATTGTATTGATAGCCTTATTTCAATAGACTAGAGGTATTGAGCCATTGTATTGGGTTTATATTTATTTTTTCAAGGACCCTATTTCTCCAGTCCATATTTAAAACTTGTTTTTCTTCTGCCTATATATCCCTTAGCTCACAAGCCAGTTAGCCAACCAACTAACCAACCAACCAACAAAACATTAAAAAAATAAAAAAAAACCCTAGTTCTTCAGTTATTTGGGAGTTATTTGTATTGACAGATACAACTATCCATCAGTCTTAATGTCACATCTCTCCAGGGTAATAAAGAATCTTTGGAGGTGATCTCCATTATACCGCTGAAGGATGGAACTTCACTTTAGCAGGGTAAGGAAAACCACTGAATTCTCTACCCCTCACAATTTCGTCTTAAAAGCCTTAGTAAAATGCTGAAAGCATCTTGAGGTATTTAAGATTTATATAAGTATTCATGTAAAGTAGACAGGGAGCCATAGTTATGAAACATGACCTGTGTTTCATATTCCTTTGAATATTCCATATT